ACAGAGCAAGTGGAGATAGAAGCAATCCTTCAAAACGTACGTGCAATGTCACTTCCGACTTAGCACTCGCATCATCATAGAGTAAATCCGAAACGTTATCGGCGTCAGTATCGATCTGCAAAGCGCTATGGATGCCTTCATAGGGAGCAAACTCTTCCCCTGCGGAAACCTAACTCACTCGTTCCAGCGCATCCATATCCCGCAACTTCTTCAACTTCTGCTCCTCGTCAAAAGCAGTAAGCTCTATAGAACCATCCGAGGATCTAAATAAAGGGATGAGTATCTAGACTAAGTGAATTTTCCCCACAAATTAAAACCTGCCCCATGCATAGAATTGAGGAGTCATCTGAAATATCACACGAAGAAACAAGGCCGTATGCGTTGAGAGCAGTCAGCATACATACGGAAGGAGGCGATTCCTGCGATACCAGGGGGAGCTTGGGGGCGTCCTGAAAAGTCAATTTTTAACATACAAATCACATGAGACATCATTGAAAGAGGCCAAACTTCCATGTTTGAAGAGCATTTCTCTAAAGGCTATTCGGAACTAAAATAGACTTGTGTTTAAGTTTCCTGAAGCGGAGTAAAAACATCGAACAGCGACAAAAATATTGAGGTTAAGAAAGCTGTAATGGGATGGATGAAAGCTTTCGGCTTTCGGTGGGGAGAGTGATGTTCCTTGAAAGTGTAAGAGGTAAGGAAAATTGATAAATTTTTTCACATAAGTTTAAAAGTGCAATATTCTTTGAAATTTTGAGATCCCTACGGTCTTGAGATATTTATAAATATAACTGGCAAAAAGACCGAACCCGTTGAGACTTTAGAAAGGAGGACAATTTGTTCGCTCGAAAAGGAGCCCACTCAATATATTTATTGCCCCACGGGTCTCAAACAAACAGTAGTACTCTGGCTGTTTTAGAAAAAAAGAGCAAATACATTAACAGAGCTATCACAACTCTACTGCTACCACAAGTTCAAAAATATCTCAGAAAAATCGGGTAAACCAAACGTCATAGAAGTTGCGGGTAAACTTGCATGAAAATCCGGTAGACAAAGAACTGAAATACAAATAAGAGATCAAATCATACCCGCATTGCTTTTCGTCGCTCTTCCCGTAGAGCTTCGCTAAGGGGCGGTAGGGGAATTCGATCAGGAACCGGGGCGAGTGCCTGACTTTTCTTGTTGTCTTTCAGGTCCTTACCTCGCGTTTTCTTCTTTTCGATTGTTTGAGAAACGTCGTCTTTAAGAACACCGTAGTACATCTAAAGCATGTCCTATTATTAAGAAATATTGGTACCCCTTGATTACAAGTAATTACTTTATGCCGTTTCTCGTTTTTGGAGACCTGACCGAGAATTCCACCCATTTGTGATTCAACGCTTGATCTCAGCTTAGAAATGACATCAGAGGCTGAAACGGGTAATTTTATTCAAAGAGCGGATCGGCGACAATCGACGGCGAAATGACCAAATGGTTGAATCAACTACCTTCTATGGTAATATGCTCCTTAACAATATTTTTGATCGTAGGTGTACGTGCCAAAGGAATTTCCAGTTGCTTTATTGATGATTTGGACATTTTGACCAGAAAAGGATTTTTCCTAAACATTGAATCAAGATGGTGATTTGAAAAAAAAAGTCATAAATGGTACTTACATCAAAAGCTGTATATAAGTGTCAGCTTGGGCCTGATGCGCAGATTGAATTCGCTCCAGGTTGTAGACAAGCTCTTCGTAGGGCGTTGGTATTCGTTTACAATAGCGTTTGAAGAA